CAGGAGCTGATGTGGGTTCAGGGGTCCTATACGAGTACCAGAGGCAAGGCAACTGGAGGATGGCAGAGGAAGAGTGAAAGAGAGAGGAAGGGAGGCAGGACCTCCTGCGTATGGGACTCAATACAAGCAGATGGGGATGGCAGCAGGACCTGAGGGTTGGGTGTGTTAGATTTCTGGGCAGTACTGTGATATAAATAAGCAGCTATAATAAAATGATGTGCCTGGAGCACAACATTTTATCCCTCTTGGTTGCCCAAAGGCAGCTTACGGGCAACCTACCATAAGGTTGAGAGAAGCAAAATCTCCATTCTGGAGTTTTGTTATAAACAGTAGGTTAGATACCAATTTCCCAGTACAGTTCAGACAGTGTTGATCCTTCTCTGTGTAAATCATCAGACTAGAGTCAATCCTGCTTTGCAGTAAGGGATTTGACTAGATGACATACTAGAGGTCCTTTCCAGCCTTATTGTTCTGTGGTTCTGTGACATAAGAGTTAATTTAGGGTAAGCTTTCCCTTGCTGGTACAGAGAGTTCAAGGTGCAGTAGCACTTGTCTGGCTCTGCTGCACTGGGCAACAGGACCCCAAGGGTAAAATCCTGGCCACAGTACAGCCAGCAGAGCAAAGAACCAGTTAAGAGAATCTACACCCCATTCATGGCACTGCCCAGTGTGCAATGAACTTCTGTAAATAATGTATCCAAATATGCTGATCTCAGTCTTCAAAAAGAGAAGGTGCAGTATGAGCTGAGACTACAGCAACAGGCAACACGGCGAGGGAGCAGTCTTTACAGTATTAGTATAGGGTATTAGTGAGGCAGTCAAAAGCCCAGTTATAGATGAGACATCACTATGCTAGCCAGCATATGCATACAACAAAGACTTCATAATACAAATGTATATGAAAATGGCAAGCGACTAAAGGGGAAGTGCAGGGTAACAGTGATGCCTATCACATTACAGGTTAAAAAGTTCCTTCATTTAAATTATCTTGTTTCACAGACTAAGTACCAAGCCAATAAAAATGTAACTCTTCATTACTGTATGGGGGGAGGGTCTTTTTAAGATACTAATGCCCCTCTTTTTGTGATGTCATACAATACACCAAACACACCATTCTTTTTTCTCATTGCAACTGGTGCCAGACGTGGCAGCAATTCCACCAAGCAGGATAGTATCAAAAAATCTCTCTTGGACTGCTGCAGTTACAGATTAGTCAGTTCTATATCTACTTCTACCTGAAACAGCATAAAAAAATAGATAATCTAATTTCACTATCTTTGACTAGCTTGTCATATACATTACCACTGCTCCATTTGATCAGAAGGCTGCTGAGTCTCAGACAATCACAAGAGCTGCACAAGTTTTCAAATATAGTTACACGTGTACTGAAGGGCCAGAGGACATATGATGATTCATGAACAAGGTCCACAAAGTCCTAAGGGCGGCAGGCTTACTCTGGTTTAGGTCCTTAGGTCTTAAAGGGGACAGCTAGGTAGAAAGTGAAATAGGGAATGGGAAGGGAAAAGATAACAAAGGGATTGAAAGATAGCAGAGAGAGAGAGAGAGAGAGAGAAGCTAAGAGTCAGGAAGGAAAGAAAGCAAGAGTGTAGAAAAAACTGGGAAACCACACACATATGCAAGAAAAGGAGAATGAAAAAGATCCAGACATTGAAAAGATTTTCCCCTGTGCATTGTCACCACTCGTTTTCTTTTTTAAAGGACTGAGGTCCTTCCACCACCTAAACAGTAGCTCCTAAAAATATCCTCCTTGAAATAAAAGAGGGTTGGTCTCTGTGGAAACAGAAGTCCATACGACTGAATGGGAAACAAGTTAAATTTATGGCTATACAATCATGTTCTCCTACAGAGCTCATCTGCGTGTAACAGTCTCCGAGCCAGCAGGGGAACAGTGCAATCTGGAAGGCGCCCTGGGAGGAAGGAGCAAAGTTGGAAGCATTTGCAATTTTTGCAGGCATCACAGAAACAAAGAGAACACTGTCCATTGCTACAACAATGGTTGATTACTGTAAAACAAAAACCTTCTTATTTCTCCCCAGCCAATACTTGCAGCAGGTGGAGAGGTTCACAAGTAACTGCAAGCACACTAGGCTTCCAGGAAGCACAACACACCAACTAGATGCCATAGGAGCTGCCCATAAACAAATCAAAGTTTGGGAATGCTCAGATCGTTTCTGGGCAAAACCTCAGAGATTCAAGCCGCATCAACAGCCCACGAGAAGTGTGGATCAGTTCACATGTCTAATTTGGGGAGTCAGATGATGCATCTCAAGGCTAAAGGGGTCAGCCCCCCTCCCAACTAGGGTGGCCATCATAGAGGACAGTCTGGTTGTCCTCTGTCCTCTATTGATATGGAACCCGATGACTTTGTCCTCTATTTTAAAATTTTTTTAAATAGAGGACATAAAGGCATCGGGTTCCGTATCAATAGAGGACAACCGGACTGTCCTCTATGATGGCCACCCTACAAGTCCCAACATTCAGGGTTCAGATTCAAAACATTTAAGACAGGCAGCATGCATAGTAGATAGGGCATCAGATTGGGACTGGAGAGCTAGGAGCTATTCCTAAATCTGCCACTGCTTTGCTTAAGCAATCAGCTATTTCCCCCATCTGTAAAAAAGGGGATAACGATACTGACCTCCTCTGCGAAGCACTTGAGGAATCTCTTGATGAACGCGTTATATATACAAGAGCTACATATTGTCATTAAGAAGGTGTCCTGGACTGTAAGCTGAGGATGCCTCATTTCCTCCTCCCACCTAAATTTTGAGATGCAGAGTTCAACATTTCTATTTTTGCTCCCTTCTTACTCAGCTGAAAATATTAATATAATGCTACTTCAGGGGCTACAAATACCTTGTACCTATGAGGCCCCGCAAACATTCATGGCCAAATTCAATGCTGCATTATCTGTGTCTTCTCTCATGGGGGCTAAAATTGAGCTACTCAATGAAGCCTGTTCTGTTTTCAGGCAAATATACTGTTTACAGAGGCAGGGTCAATGACGTTAACCACACTTCAAATACCATGCAACCTCAGAGTAAAAATTCTAACCTCCACCATGTAGACTAGAAAATACCGAATAAAGGGACGTAACATTAATACAAACCAGTGCTTTGAGCACTGTAAAAATTAGATTGCAACACAATGTGACAATGAGTCTTGGTCCAATCTAAGTAAGAAAGACTAGTGTTAAAAAGGTAATACTACCCAACTATAACACAACTCCACCACAGGCAAGTGATTTCAAAGTGTAGATGAGGCTGTGTTATTTTATTACTGTTAAGTCT